TTCGTGGGATCCAACTTTGCACAAATTTCTTCTGTGTTTGACCTACCTCAACATTTCGGCAGAAGAAATAGCTTGGAACATCGCAGCGTCCCATACTTAGGCGGACCAATTCGTGTACAAAAGGACTGACTTTCTAAAACCGCTCAAAAAACTAATTCAAACAACCACTGGCCTATCTCTGTGATGAAAAAATTTGCAAGAATATTTAAAGAAGATTGTGAATGACTAGATTTTTTGAATTCTCATCATCCCATAAAACGTCAGAACATAGATCGAAAACTTTACGCTATATACCCAGTTCGGATCAATATAAGCCAATCTGAAACGCGAGCTCATGACTGTTGAGGTTGCCCAATCAGTGCCACTTACCTATTGAAAATGTTACCAATGGAGTCCTAAGGTGAAAACGAACTCCTCATGTGTACACTATAGCATGTTTATTCATAAACATCAAGCAGTTGTTTCAGTCTCTATCTACTTCAGAGCAAAGGGGTGAGGTGTGTTACTAAGCCTAGTTATAGAAGAGGACAGGCCGTTTTGATTCAAAATTTGGACCCATAATTCTTCATGTTTGAATAATGTGTCCCACAATTTTGCAAACATAATAAAAACTATACCCATTTTTCCGCAATTAAATCTCTATATTACACATACGTACTTAAAACTTTCTTTTCTAACTGAACATTTATTTTGTATATTTCCTGAAAATTTTGAATATTTCCTAAAATGGTACTCATTATTCTGTGTGCTTCTCCAAATGGTACGCATAATTTCGCATATACTTTTACCGATAATTCCGCACTTTTAAGAAAAATGGTGCAAGACACTGTGTAGTAGTTCTATCACAAACCCAGAGAGTAAAACACCAGAAAAAAACTCTGTTTATAACTCAGACACTTTAATACAAATAAAACATACGAAGCATGCTAGGCCCTAACCTAACCTAAAGCCTTACGACGAGTGACAGAGTTTCGTTCAAATAGCTTCTCATGTCTCCATCCAACTGACTCTACTTAAACTACAACTTGTATTTATACACGAATGGAATCTAAAATTAGCAATACACGATAATTATGGTAACTAACCGATAACAAGTAAAAGGAAAGGCTAGGTTAAATGATGCCATGCAACGTAAACATATCTAAATCAAAAGTATGCAAAAATGATAGAAAACTACGCAAATGGTAAAACAACAACATAGGGACGAGAATGAGTAACCTATGACTAGGCCTAAACAATGCTGGGAAAATCCCGCACCTACAACATAAACAATGGAAGGGGGCGTATGCTATGACGCGAGATATACGACGTATGCACGAGAAGTATGCCACAGCTAATGATATGCAAAAAGAAACATAGAGAAAATCCTAACAATGAATGGGCTAAGGGGTATCTAACAAAATGGCCTAACTTTACTTAAGAAAATTGTGACAGTTCTTTGTTAAAGTTATTTCTTTGCGTCTAAAGTTAATTGTCTGTTTTTTTTAAATAGAACATGCAAAATATCTTTTAAAAGGGCAATTTTTTCTACTTAGTGAAAAGGAAGTCAAACGAACTGCGTTGTAGAATGTTGAGGTAGTTTTCTGGTTTTTCGATTTTTGAAATACTTAACTTGCGAAAAGAAAGTTAAATTTTTTTGTTATGAAAATTCAAACAAAGCAAAATCCTTGATATGCCAATAATTTTCACCTTTTGATCAAGCCCCTGATGTAATGGAGCCATTTCGGCTTTGTAATCTGTTAATTCCGGAATGAATAATTTAAATGTTGATCAAATTGTAAAGTTTCTTTCAAATCCTTTACATGAAATTTTGAATATTTTTACTGTTTTCCTTGTAAAAGGGGCAGTTTTTGTACTGCCTTATAATAATATAATAATAATAAATAATTTGTTTAAAGTTGGCGTACTAAATGAACGGCTGATAGCTATAAAGAAGCTAATTAAGGCCAACTATCTATAAAGAGTTAGTATGAAATAAAAATATACGATACAATATTAAAAAGGTTTAAGGTATAATGTTCTAAATAAAACCTAACCCAGCAATAAATTTTTTACAAAATCTACAGTCGCATTCTATAGGTTGTGCTCTTAATTCTTTTTTAAATGTTGCCAATGATTGGGCTCTCTTATACTGTGAGGTAGTGTTTGTCACAGTTTTTGACCTCAATATTTCACAGTTTCTATACCATAAGAAGTTGTCCTGGCTTTTGGAATACAAAGATTATTTTTAGTTCGCAAATCATAATGTACATTTCTTGTTTCAAAAATCTCACTCATGAAACTAGGGTTCAGGTTATGTTTGGTTTTGTATATTTCTATCATCAAGTACTGTAGATTGCGTTGGTGAATTGATACCGCATTATCCAAAGTCAGCAATGCTTCGTAGTCAGCATGACTGTCTTTATAAACAATTCTGATTCCTTTTCGTGGATTTTATTTACTTTAGCATTCAGACATCTGTCATGGAACATCCAAATTAGGGGGCAGTAACTAAACTGAGCTTTTATGAAGCTGTTCATTAGCCTAATGCCTTATATGCAAGTTTAATGGCTTTAGATAGACAGATGAGTAAAAGGCATCAAAAGTGTACCTATCTTTTATTTGACTGCCTCATAAAAATTTTTTCAATCTCATTCATTTTAATTTCCCGTGTTAGTCACAATTTTCTATTTGCATTTCTCTGTAACACTGCCCCCCCCCCCCCACAAAGACACATGTAATTGCGTATTGTTTGACATAAGGCATTTCGTAAGCAACAACCGTAGTGTACCCAGGCACTTCCGTTGACGTAACCTCGTGTATTTGCATTGTTAATATTTGCATTAACGTATTAGTTTCCTTCTAGACGCCCCTCTGGTATTCCGCTAGTTTTTTCCATTTTCATGCTTGAACTTTTGTGGCTCAGGTTCCATCCAGTGGTGGCGCCAGGGGAGGGCTAGGAGGGGGCTACAGCCCCTCCGTCGGAAGCATCTAGACCCCCCGCCCCCCATCGGAGGAAATTTTAGGTTATTGTCGGAGCAAATTTTACAAAATAACGTACGAAAACTGCTGATTTTAGTCATTTTAGCCCCCCTGTCGGAAGCTCCAGCCCCTCTGTCGGAAGATTTCTGGCGCCACCTCTGGTTCCATCTGCGTCCTATCACGGCACGGGGGTTTACTTAATAAGCTGATTACCCGGGGATATGCCTGTTTTCGCAGGGTCTCCTTCGCGTCTGAAAATTCCGGGACAAAAATATACTTTTAGTCTCCTTTTTTTCCGGCACAGGTATACCGTATACCTAATGAAGATTTCCAGGACAGGTCAGATTGTTATGAAAATAACAGTGTTGTCACCTTCATAGACTTATTTCCTTAAAACTCAGATATGGAGTCCAAAAAGAGGTCAACTTTCCATATCAATTCAAAAATGTATTATCATCTTATCAGTCAATTGGTGTCGAGGCAAACCATTAGTTTCCTATATCTTATTCAAGGACTGGTATCACGTTTTCAGAATTTTATTACAGACAGGGTTATAAAATTGTTTCTGGCAAGCACACGTCATTATTCTTCTCACAGGTCAACCATGCCCCTAATTTACCTAAAAATTCATTTTAGAATATTTTTGCAGCCACCTTTCTGCAATCGTTTAAAAAGTTGTACAATTTGTTATGTATTACTTATTGCTTTCACAAACTGGAAACCTCAAGGCCCATGGCCAATTTTCCATCGCCACTACATTTCGGTAACCCTTGTTGTGAGCTGTTTTTTGGTGTTTCTAAAAGCAGATCGAAAAGAAACATTTTAGATCATCGCCCCAAAAGGTCACCCCTTTGTTCATTTCGTATAGCACCTGTAATAAATTTAAGGGCGCTTTTTGGTTATGCAGTTGGCAAAAAGTGCAACTCGGTGAGGTGCAAAGAGGCAGGTGAGCTGAAATTTTGGGGAAAAGGGGGTACGTGACCACTGTGCCCCCCGTTTCCTACGCCTTTGCTTGAATTTAAGACATCATCAATGCCTTGACTGATATGCGAACCAACGTTGGTAGCAATCTGAAACGAAAATATTTTTGCTGGTCAAATTGCTTTGCAAATCGATTTTCAGTTCTCATCAAAATGGAAAACATTGATTTTTGTCTTGCATGTAGGTATCAAGAGATGCTTGAAATCTAGATTTTATTAGCATTCAAAATATTGTTATGAATTAGTATTGCATGGAAATCAATTTCTTGAAAGGGCACTTTGCTGCCCCCGCACCACTAGGACAATGGGGGCAGCTGCCCCCGCTTCCCCTTGGCTCCGGTGCCCTTGGGTGTATGAGGGGGTGCGGTACCCCCTCCAACATTTTGTTCGTCGGCATATTAAGGATTTTTGCCGCGCAAAAGATGGAATTTTTGTACTCACTCTGTAACATTTTTGCAATTGTAACATATTAACGTTTCTGTGCAGTTAAACTTTAGCACTAGAGTATAAACTTTGAAGCAGAAACGCATAAAAGTAGCATGTAAGAGTATTTATATTTTAACCACTCCCTTAAAGAATGAGACAAGTTTTTTTGTCTGCAAAAATCACCTCTTCACCCCTCCAAACAATTTTCTTGGCTCCGCCCCTGAATGTGAAAATGAAAAAGTGCGATTGCTCGGAAAACCGCTCGGGTTTCAATATTTGAGAAACGATTTGTAGTAGGATAAAGAAAGCAGTAATCAAGAAACGCTGAAATGTGATGACCTTGGCAAGAGGAACTAGAAACTTGTTGTAGGGCCTTTTAGCAGGGCAAAGGTTTTCAGGAAGGCTTTTGCGGACACCTTCCTCTTTGTTCCTGACCTGCCTGACGCATCGAAAACGGAAGTGTCCGCCTCGAACCTTTTGCGTCTTTACACCAAAATATCTACGTTTACACTTACGTCAAAGGTACTGGGTGAGGCTTAACGTCGGTTTGTTGCTGAGGGCTGTGAAAGCCATCGATTTAATCGGCAGCTAAGGTGAGAAAAACCCCGCGCGCACATTGACGTCTCAAAGAAACGCCAACTTTGTTGTCACGTGATTTACCTTTGTATTCAAATTTGCTCGAAGCGGATAAAGTCAAGAGGCTGTGACACTTATCAGACACATCTTTGGCTGCAGAGAGAACGGTCGTAAATATGAAGTTGGCTCTGCTGTTAGCGTTGGCTTTTACAGGTACGCTCGACAGAATTTCTATTTACATTCATTAGGTGTTATTTTTAATGATAGCGAATTTATATAGCTTTTTGTGAAATAGCTTCATCGCACTAGAAAGGTTAGCTGCAATGGTAAATTAAAGTCGTGCATTTTCGAATTTATAACGTTAATCTACTCTTGTTGCTGGTAAACCAGGTTAATTAGGGAAAAGGAAACTTTTGATTTCTTTGGGAAATTAGGGGCCCTGCTCAAAATTTTAGCCCTTTTGGATAATGTTATCAATTTTATAATGTTATAATGTTATAATGTTATAATGTTAATTTCAATAAAGTTATAAAAATTTTTGAAATGGCAACAAAACCATATTCAAAATCCAACATCATTGATTCCACCGGATTCCACAAAACGATTGATTACACAAAGATAATTACATTAAAGACAATTGCAATATGTTAAACCGATTTGTAGGAATCCGAGCAAAACCATAAAACCAGCTCAGTGCATTGTGCTGGCTTATTTGAAAGGTAACAGAAAAAAGAAATACTTTGGTCCATGGCTAATAACTGATTAAGAGCTGAATGAAAAACTAAGATGAACGAGAAATTGATAATTGATATTTTATGTATCATCATTTTGGCCGGCAGTATTTTTATGCCTTACTCTTTGTATGATAACTTGCAAATGATTTTTATAAGATCACAATCCCCCGAATAAGCCCCCTTTGAATTTTCCCACATTTCATCCAGAATTTTTCTTTAATATTCAAATTGCGTGCAAAAATGTTTTCATTTAATTCGGTGTGAAATCTCAAATTTCGGTGCGCAGCTCTACGCTCCCCTCGCGCGTGCATTTGCCATACTCTTGACTCTTGAGACCGGTACTCCTCCTGACCTTTTTCTTTACTTTCTTTTAGGTTGGTAAACCTACACTAATAGCTATATAAAAGCTAATCAAAATAAATATGTTAACAAAAACTGAATTTAACAACGTAACAGTAATAAATGAATTACCCAGTATGGAGCAAGTTCTTTGTTGCCACTACAACAATGTACAGTCGGTTCCCTGTCACTTTATATAGCCCACTTGTCCTATAAATGGTTTACAAATGCGGCATGAGCAAGAAATCGCTGAAATAATTTGATACTTGCTTTAAAAATTTGATACTTGTCTCCCGGTCGGTCGGTTTCTATCTCCATCTACATAATTAGTTGTAATATTAAGCCTATCCCATCCCATGCTTTCTTTTGGGTACGTTGCGGACACCCACCCTTATTAGATTTTTCATTAACTTTAAAGGTAAGGTAAAAATATTTTATTCTTAACGAATACTTTATTCTTAACGAGCCTTCTTCCCCTACCCTTATATCTGATATTCCTGTATTCCAGTGGCGGCGCCAAAGGGTAATTACCTGCATATTTTCAGAGAGGAACAAAGAAACCCAGCCTAAAACGGAGTTAAGGTCCATGGACACTTCCCTTCGCTCTCAGTTAGAATGAATTTTGCATTTCGTTCAAGTTCGACTAGAAAGGATTGGGACAATTTTCCGCAGTGTATTATTTTGATGTTGTTCTTTGATTCTAAAACCGCCAAGTTAGACATGGGGTAACATCTTGGTAAAATTGCAACATTGTAGTTTACATTTGATATCCATCGCATTTAAGCAAGAAAACTGTTGATACCGTGTGAATTCTCATACCCTGGGTGCCAGTGCCACAAGAGCCACAGTGGTTGAGGTAGAAAAAACTTTTGAGTTACCGATTGACAAAGAGTTACCGGCGATTGATAAGACACAATTGTTCTTTGGGCAATCCAAATATATACTAAAAGATGATGTCAGAGTTGTCAAGTACTCAGCTACCCTATATAAATAACAAAAACAAGCTTCTGCTTGCAAGCAAAGGATCGATCGTTTCCGTCCAAGAGTAGACACAAGATTTCTGAGCGGTTTCACATGAATCACAGAGCCAGATCAGAGATGCCGCACACATGAAATATGATGTTTCTTAATTATTTTTAAATATCTTCAAGCACCTATTTAATTTTCCTTTGCTCTTCGTACTCCTTTATTGTTGCAAATTTCCATACTATTCATATTGTGTTCTTATTTGGTTATAAATTAGAAGGAAGGGGCTGAAAGCATCGTGCTGTTAGTAGAAGCTATGATCCTATGGGTTCTGCTCTGAATCAATTAAAACCTTATGTTAGCATTTACAGTAAAGTTTACAATAAATATAGGGTATTGTCATTTTGCTGAAGTTTCCCCGATCGCAGTTTTGAAATATACTTTTAAGAGCTTTGCACGTTCATTGGGGGCCTCTTATAGGGGTCTTTGGCATGGGCACATCTTAAAAGTGTTTTTTGCATTCTCTTCTCTCTCTCTCTCTCTCTCTCTCTCTCTCTCTCTCTCTCTCTCTCTCTCTCTCTCTCTCTCTCTCTCTCTCTCTCTCTCTCTCTCTCTCTCTCTCTCTCTCTCTCTTTCTCTCTCTCTCTCTCTCTCTCTCTCTCTCTCTCTCCTTACCGACACTCTCTCTTGTCCTTACCGACAGCAATGTCTGACGGTAGCTAGTCCAATGTTATGTTTCTTCTATTAGGCTCAGAGCTCTTTTCAATACCTTTTGGTGAAATGTGAAGAGCCTTGCCGCAAGTCGTTATTTCAGCTTGCAGCCGTAGCTGCTTCATAGAACCGTTAAACCGTCGCGAATTTACACCGAAAGATGCAAGACGCACCTTTTGCTGAGTGCAGGAAAACTGTATTCAAATTCGGAGGCCACGTGTAGAAGTAGGGTCTAGGCCGTGAAGCCGCAAACTTTTACTATTACCTTCAGTCAAACTACCCCTATCCCTGCAAAAAATGACGAATGATTTCCCAGGATCCTATAGAAAGAATTTCCTTTTATTTTCACTGTGCAAGTTCAGTTAGTTTTGAAGGCTGAATATGTTGTACTTTGCTGATTGTTTATAAAGGCATTAAAGATCAGCGTGAATATGTTGGATAAAAAGGTAGTGTGTATTTACATAATGATTAGAAATAGGTTGTGTAAATATTGTTTTAAAGATATATGCTGGTAGGAATCCAGCTTTCAATTAGTGACAATATAGAAATAATACTTAGCTAGGTCAAATAAAAAACATAAAATATTGACGAGGGTAAAAGAAAAGGACATTTTCGCTCTCCCTCTCTCTGTTGTCTCTACAGAACAAAGTGGTGATTTCTGCCAAGTCAGGATCAAATATACTTGAACTGTTCCACACAAATGTAGACACTTTGTTATGATAACCTTGATTAGATATACGTGTTCTGCTAGTTCTGGAGAGGAACTGCGCAAAATTTTCCAATTCAGTTGACGGACTAAATTTTTAATAACACTTCTGATTACTAAGCGTCTTGGAGGAACACGCTGGGGAAAATGTAGGCCAAAATTTCTGCAGATGTTGCATGAACTGCCGTGTCCATGAAAGTTAAAATATTCAGTTGAAGGCGTCATGGGCTTCTTAATTCGAACTGGGCCTATAAAAGATTATCAATTGCCTGACTTGTTCATTTTTGTCTATTTTCAACAGATTTACTTAATATTTGAGTTTTATGGATTTGAGCATCAAGTCAAATTCTAGAATGGGTCTTTAGTCCAGCTATTCAGATATAAACTATCTTGAAGTATTGTTCCTATAAATTTTTTTATACAAAACAAACCTTTTTGGAAACAATAGTTCTCTACCTGATTTAGAATTTCACAGACGATGGAAACAGGTTTTTAATGTCTGAAAGCAATTTTTATCAAATTTTAATCTGATGAATAAACCGTTGCCTTCTTGCCAATAAACCACTGTCCTCGGCTGGCCTTATGTGCAAGCTTCAAATGGTTCGTCAAATCGTCTTCGGTGAAATCCTTTCGGCAATCTGTTCTTTAAGGTTTTAGAAAAAATTGTTTAATCAAAGTAACTTATATGCACAGAAACATTTTGGATCAATGCTTCTCATTCCCTTAAAAATTTCAGAATCCACTACATTAAATGTTTTTTCTTCTTTGATTTTTGCAGCCGTTTTTGCACAGAAAGCAGATGAAATGAATCCATTTGACAAGATCATGTTTATCAACAATAATGGTAACACTTTATAATCCTTTTATCAAGATGATTTTGTAATTTACTCACAGCAACCTATTTGACAGATTATGACCTATTATAAGAACAATTTGTTGTTCGGGTACAAAACATCAAGCCAATTTTGATGCTGTGTATTCAAACTGCATTTAATTTTTTTTTGCCAATTAGAGCGATGTCCCTTTTTTATCTCACCAGTAGTAGATGTAAGTTTTTGCAATTAAGAGACGTGAAATATTTCTCATTGAAATGCTTCTTCCCAAAGAGAGAATGCACCTCCGAAGCAAGCAATTTCTTGATATGCACCATAGTCTACAAACTACCAGACTAGCACTCGATATTGCCAAATAAATGTGTATAGCCATCATACACAAGGTCCAGATATTTTCAACTCAAGCTAACAGACATAAAATATCATATCAGTTTCAAATTTCGAAGAGACATACAATAGACTTGCTTGATAATAAGTTAAGAATTAGCCATTTCAAACTGGCATAAATAAGTGAATTCGTTTTGCAGGCGGCAAATCGCGTTCTTTTCCGTCAATAAGTGTCATGTAATGTGTACAAAAATTGTTTGCTTGCATACTAAATTTACACTAATATTTTTTAACAGCCGGGGCAAAGTTTTCAGTGGACAACGAAAATAACCGTGAGTTGATCTTTCATTTCATATTTGTTTAAATTTCTCAGGCCTGCAATAATTAAGGAGTAAAAGATATTATAACCTTGAAACACGATGGTCAAGCATTTTATTTAAATTGCATCTTTCTTTGTATTTGCTTGGTTATCTTCTTAAAATGAAGATGGACAAACTGGAACACGTCCTGGAAACACGAGTCCCAATCACCGTGTTTAGGTCATTAAATGATTCTTTCCCCTCACCGCTACGAAACATGTCTAAGCGTCTTAAGCATGGCAAGGATACCAGGTGTGTGGACTACAAATTTACCTGATTAAAAATTTGTTGCCTGAAATTTTTAGGCTGCTGTCACAAACCTCTGCAATACATTTTGTAAATCTAGCTCTGTATGATAATAACGGACTTTCCTAATAGTCTTGTCAAATCTCTATATCGGGACGGGCTAAGGATATAGTTACTACCTGAGGCGGCACCATAGTTGCCGCCGAAGAGCGGGAAATTTTCGAATTTTGATGCTTCTAGTTTCCTGGAAAATGCACTCTTTTAAGCAAATTTCACTAAAGCAATACTCCTCATCCTATTGAAAATTATTTTTTTTTGCAAAAATTTTTTACAGCAGATAAAAACAACAATTTCGCTGTGGTCTTGTAAAATACCAGGTTGTCAGCTACTTCTAAATTTAGAAGGGTCTGGATTTTTAGATTTATTGCTAACAAGCAATCTTCAAATTTTCAAATCATTGTTTGTTTACCCTCATTCATGTCAAGGAATATCATATTTAACCAACGGAGCAACTACCTTTGCTTGAACCTTTATTGATTTTATAATATGAAGGTCTCTGAAATGCCTAAAGCGTTTCTTCCACCGAGTGGATTTTACCTGAAATTTCCTATTGAGATACTATTGGGGGGGGGGGTGACACCCCCCGGTCGCGACGCCCCTGCCTATAATGATAGCAGTTCTTCATTCTACTGGATATGAGTATCCTGTTCTATCATCAATACTATTTTTATGAACAATTTTTTGGCGGTACAGAACTTGAAAATGGCTTTGAAAAAAGCAAACATTTTACAACATATTGGCCAAAAGCTTTTACGTCTGACACTCCTCAGAGCATAAAACGTCAAAATAAGGGTCCGAAAGAACACGATGAAAAATATATACCCAGTTGTGGATCAAAATAGGCCAATCAGAAAAACGGAAGCACAAGCTACATTTGTAGTCTTTTCACAAATGTCCTTTTGAGTAAGACCATCAAAATATGTGCCGAAGCTTTGTACCGGAGCGAGCTTAATAGCCCATCATTCCCAGAGGAAGTATTCATTGAACTAATTGGCCTATTTTATTTCATAATGTATTTCAGATAACCAATGATTTGGTAATTTTTTTGATGTCCTATTGCAGACCCGGATCTTTTCGAAGGTGACATTGTCATGACAAAATCTCTACAAACAGACATCGACAACATGGAATATGCTGCAAAAAACAAAATTTCTAAATTCGATGCAATCACAAACGGTGCTTGGTCGAATGGCGTTATACCTTATACTTTTGATCGCAATTTCAGTAAGTTGCTTTCACCTTTCATCACTTGGCTGATCGCAGCACCTTTAAAGTAATACCTATCATTTCGAGACTTCTCTCTGTATATTTTTGAAAAGAGGAATTTGGTCATCATTCATTCTTTTAACTTAATATGTCTTTTGAAAAAAGCTAAATTTTCGTGTGTTTTCCATACAGAAGGGAGAGGAAGTATGTGCTAGGAAGAGAAAGTTGTAAATGGATTTGAGTTATTATTAAGGCAGATTATTCCATGCAACTTGAAACACCTTTAAAAGCTCTATATCATTCTTATGGTTCATTCTTATCTTCATAGTAAGATTCTTTGCTATGTTTTGCAAACATGCAACTCTGCAAGCATAGTAAGGCTAACTGAATTTAATAATCACTCCTGTGTATTAAAAATTAGCCTTTATTTGAAAACTTTTCAGATGCCAGGGGTCGCTCGGTCGTGCGCCAAGCCATCGCTGATTACCAAAAATACACGTGCATCAAGTGGGTTCCAAGAACCAACCAACGAAGCTATGTTACCTTTTTCCACGGATCAGGGTATGTGTACATCAAGAGCTGCACTCCTACGCCTTTCCAATCTTGAACAGGACTTCTGCCATTGCTCCCTCCCCCTCCCCCCATTTTTTTTCAAAACAGTAAAGCTTTTTCAAAACCTTTTGTTTTGGCTGTTAATTTTCCTTTTACCCCACCTTCCAGCCTATGTTGGTGCCTATGTTGAGGACACAGAGCCTTACTCCGCACTTCAACTGACTGGTATTGTGTCCCTCGCTTCTGTCATCTCTGTTCTGCTATGGTATGAGGCCCATTAACATTTTTCACGTTACAGCTCCAAAGGCTTCATGTTGCTCAGGCTATGACAAGATTGTTGCTACGGAAGTTAGTGCAAAGGGTTACAAAAGCCGCAAAAAATTAAATTTCTTAAAATGTAAAGTTCATGTTTTTTAGCAAATAATTTTCTGAGATGTGACTTATTATTGCCAGCGTTTTTAAGAAATCTTTCATCAATATTGAGAATATTTTTGCTATTTTTGTTTGTTAATTTGGATATACCATAAAAGCTCTATTAAGCCCCCCTCTCCATTAACCCCCCTCTCTATTAATTCCCCCTCTTTATTAAGCCCCCCTCTTTAGGCTTTGATGTCAAACATAGAAAACATGCGCATTAAGTGGGTCTCTTGACGGGTGTGATGATGATAAGATCGTATGCAGTATATACGGCCTATGTAAAGACCAACTTGTGCGACATAATAGTCAGTTGAAATTTGTTTTGAAGACATCCTAGGGTTATCAATTTATAATGATGATGTTGATGAAAATGATGACCTTATAATTGACTGGTTAAACTTTCGAAGCTGCTAGCAAAGTTTTTTGCGAATATTTGTATGACATTTTCATAACAAGTGGCCAAGGGCATTTTTGAAAAGTTTTTTGCTTCAAATTTTTAATAAGCCCCCTTTCTCTAATAAGCTCGCTCTCTTTTAAGCCCTCCTTTAGGATTAAAAAAATAGATAAGCCCCCGGGGGCTTAAAAGAGCTTTTACGGTATGCAGTATTTACTTGGCATCCGGAAAATTTGATCTTTTTCACTAGGTCTTGGGTATATTCAAGTTCAATTAACTCTCGGATTTCGAAGAGGTTCATTCTAAATTCTATTAGGCATCTGCTATCCTGTTAACGTTACAGAATCGTAAAGCTGCTTTTTGTACAAGATACTGCTTTTTTCATCGCTTTAAAATGAAGCAGAAAGGAACGGAACCAAATTTGACCCGATTTACCCTTCCATTTAAAGAACAGAACTTTTATGTGAAGCAAAAGCTTCTCTAGATTGAGCCACGTTTTCCATCGAAACCAAAAAGAGTAGATGCCTTGTGTAAACGCCAGACCTATGGTCGATTTATTCAGGAACTTTATTTATTCAGGTCGCTTTACCTTTTTCTGTAGTGTAAACGGTATTATTCTTATTCTAAGGCTTATTTTCTCTCCAGATGCTACTCCATGATTGGACAGCAAGGTGGCCCCCAAAGAATTTCTATGGCGAGTCCTGGTTGCCTGTCAAAGGGAATCGCCATCCATGAAATGATGCATTGCGCTGGATTCTTCCACGAGCAATCGAGAACCGACAGAGATCGATACATTAAAATTCAATGGGGAAATATAATGTCAGGTGAGGCCCAGGTCAAATGTCACTGTTAATTCCGCACAGCTAAGAGCGGCTATTGTTGAAACAAGAATTATCCACCTTTTACGGACTAAAATGTCAGTTTGATTCAATCTTTTCCGCCATGACCAATCCCACAACGCAATCATTTCGCAGGACACTACCCCATCAATATAGAAATGCACTGAGTCGTAGTAAAAAGGCATTCTTTATAAAGAGTCATTTGCTTTCGGTGTGATCGCTGTAGTTTCATGTGATATCAGCACCCGTTGTTGACAACTTGCGATTGAACGAAGCTGGTTTGTAAAACATCTTGTGATAAATGTCTGGCCAACCAAAAGCATTGCAGCGCTAAAATGTTAACTCCGCGTATATTGGTATACCCTCTTCTTTTATAAAGACACAATACCTTTAAAGGATGATTTCCACTTGGCGAATTCTTTCGCGTGAATCGAATTTTTACCAATGTAAGCATGCGTGGTGTCATGTTCTCAAATTTCGCAGCGAAAAAATTCGATTCGCAGAAAGTATATCACGGTCCTACTCTATCGCTACGACTTTTTATTCGATTCGCGCGAAAGAATTTTCTTAGTGGAAATCAGGCTAAAGTTGTGCAATAGAGAGCGATGGATTTATGTTGCGTCAAATGTTGCTTTTCATATTGCCACCCTTGACTCTAATTTCAATATCTACATTGTTACTTAGGCTAATGTTACACTATACTGGATTGCTATCGGAGCGGAGGAGAGTAACTTTTACTCCGAAGTGATATATAGGGTAGCCCTTACTACGGCGCTTCGCTCGCCTATACGCCTGCATCCCTCTGCGTTTCTCTGCATTCCTGGTACAAAATGAAGTGTGCTTTAGTAAACTCACGCCTAAAATGCACCAGATTAAATTATTTGATGTTCTGTTCGAAGCTGTGTGCTGTTGCAAATTCGCTTTCAATAACTACTGCATAAAACGACGAAAACAGCCCTGAAAGTTTAGAGATAAGTGATGGGGTTCGCTGGATGGATAGCAAGATTGCATTGCTATCTGATGTGTTTAAAGTATGTTTCTTTCAGTGGCCTCTTCAATAAAATTTGGGAAGAGTTGAAATCCAAATACGACAAATTTGGGACGATTTTGGTTGGGTATTATCCAACAGCAACCAAATCTCAGAAATCGCCATTGTTCACTAATGATCGAATTGCTTCAAGCAAAAAACAATAAGAAAAATTCATGGTTTCGAAGCGGATTATGCGGGATTCGTTCGATTACACTACAACGCACCGCTACGGAGTGACTCCGGAGTGATCACCTCCAGAGCGGAGTGATTTTCACTATCCGATCCGATATGAAGTTAATCCGCTCCAATAGTAATCCGGTATAGTGTAACTGGCACCTCGGCAAAACGACGTACCATGGAAAGTGAAACAATCATTCTGTATCGGAGAGTTTTTACTGAAAAACAAACACCCAGATTATTATAAATTCTCTAAATGTTCTTAAAAAGAACTGATAGAATTGGTTCCTGCTAACCCCAGGTTGAGTTATGCAGAGCGTGTGTGACATACTGACAGTATCCAAAAATCTAGGAACTAATTTCAACTTTATTTATTCAGGTGTCGATTACAACTTCAAGAAGTACAGGTATGGACAAGCATCCACTCTTGGCGAGCCATACGATAAGCAGTCAGTCATGCACTACGGAAAGTAAGTTTCTCCAACAAAATTGTTGGTTTACTGGAAGGAAATCTAAATATACTGAACTGAACGTTCAACTGAGCCCATAATTTGCTCTGCTGAACATATTACATGTTGGGCTGTACACTGAATTGGCTGTGCTGAACACTAAGTTTGCTGGGCTGAATCCAAAGTTTCCTTGTCTGAACACTAAGTTTGCTATGCTAAACGCTAAGTTGGCTGTGCCGAACACTAAGTTGGCTGAACTGAACACTAAGTTTGCTGTGCTGTACACTGGGCTGGCTGGGCTAAACAGTAAGTTGTCTGTGCCGAACACTAAGTTTCCTGGACTGAATCCGACGTTTCCTTGTCTAAACACTAAGTTGGCTGTGCTGTACACTAAGTAGAAGCCAAGAACTTTTGACACGTTTTTGCAAAACATGGCTGACCTTGAAAGCTTTGACCCCTAACAAACTAATTTAACAAACAAAAAGCAAAATGAAACTGGTTTCAGATAACGTTCAGGGAAGCAATGGTTTTTAGGTGTTTATAAAGAAGCTTCTTTAGTTAAGAACAACAAAAAATTATTATCGCAAAAAGATAGGGGCAATGTTAAGCTCGGCATTTGGGTTTCCTCAGAAAGAAAATTTGGATGTGGTATCAATCAATTTCCGGCAACTTGAAGGGCGTAGTTTGCAAATTTTTGCCCGGCTAGTTAACCCCATTTTCCTTTCACCAAAAATAGTGGTCTTGGGAAAAGGCTTGAGCACTTGAATACACAAAAGAATTGCCTACAAAACACATAATTTTCTATAATAAAAAAACTTACTTCCTTCGCAGCTATGCATTCAGCAAAAACAGAGGAAAGACGATCGTTTCTCTCTCGAACCCATCGGAGACCCTTGGACAGCGAAGAGGATTTAGCCGTATTGATATCAATCAACTGAACAAGTATTACAAGTGTAGAGGAACAAAGCCGCAACCGACAAAGAAACCTGGTAAGAACGCCAATTCTTCGATAGCAAGCTGTTCGACAGTAGTGTCGGTTAACGCTAGAAGGAGGCTTTTCTCAGTGGCAATTTTTTTGCGGCCTTTTTTCGCGAATGGAGTTGTCTGTTTTTAATCGAAACATGAACGAGAACTACACTTTGCGGTCTTTTAAAAGCTGTAAAACTTTATTCTATGAGCAATAAACTATAAACATTTGAATATACCTCGTGGCATATAGAATAGTTACGGTTTATTTCTCCTTTCTTTGTTATAGAAAGACACTTAATTTGTGCTATCCACAGTGTGGCAAAAAATTCTTTCAATAATTAATGTAATTAAATATCAACAATATCGTAAGTTTGCAAATGGCTGATGACTTAAAAAGGCGTTAAGGAATATAGGATGGAAACATTTTGTTTTCAATTCAATTTAAACTACAATTACAAATCTCACTATTACAAGGTAATTTGCAATTGGCTAGCCTGGTTTTACAAGAAAAACTATAACAATCGTAAGGTAAAAGGAAAAACTGAAGAAAAAAACAATCAAAATTTCGGGTTTGTCCATGCTTTATTTTTGCAACAAAATATTATAATGTTATCGATAATAATCAGTGTAGATAATATTTTAACTGGTTGACTTTGTCAGCTGTAAAACGGGTAAAATTGTTCTGTAATACTTTCTGTTAGCATTTAAGGACATGCATACATAGAGTGAACAAACTATTTTAAGTACTTTCATGAATAGAAATTTTCTTAATAATAGCTCTTATCAAATTTGGATGACGTCATCAGTCACCACCTTCGTTTATGGCATTGGGTGAAAATAAGTAAGACACGCTACCATTAGAAAATTCATGTTTCTTGTTCCGTTCTGAAAAAAATGGATTCCATAATTCAGATGATAACGGGAATGGCATTTAATTCCAGTAATAAGGGAAAGTAATTATCGACAAAATGCGTTTTGAAAACTCTACGCCAAAACTCAACCAATAGTGCCTTAGTGTTTTCGGTATAAATGTCTTTTTGTGCCTTTTCGTCCATCCCAAAAGTCCATTTTTGACTGTGCAATCCTGTGCAATTAGCTCTAATACAATAGCTCTTACTTTCAGTGTCAACATGCACAGACAGCTACGTGTTTTGCAAAGCCTTGAAAAGCTACTGCAGCCATTCCTGGGTTATTGCAAACTGTAAGAAGTCGTGTAACCGATGTTCTCGACCAAAACCACGCCCAAAGCCGAAGCCAAATTGTGAAGACCAAAACCGCTACTGCCCCGGTTGGGCAAGAGCGAAGTATTGCAACCATCAGCGATACAAATCTTTCATGCAAAGGAGTTGCAAAAAGAGCTGCAATTTTTGTTGATCGCAAGGATAGAGACCTTTTTGCTAACACAAGTGCATTAGTTGGGCATTGTGTTTTTGTATCTTATTCTTTACATCTGTTCATTTAATGTTTCCGATGTCTATAGCTTGATTTATTGATGTATCATTCCAATACCTTGTCTGTAAAAGTGATTGTATTTTTGTTCATTTTTTATCTCTTTTCGCATCATAGCTTTCAATGTTACAAAGTAAAGAATCATGTTCCTCCCAACTGAAGTATTGCCCGAGCTACATTCCTTCTTTGCTTTAACAGAGGAAGGGCACTGTTTGGAAATTCAATAGCACGATTTTTTTAGTTAAATAAAAGTGACGATGTCTCTGTTTTCAAAATTTGAAACATGCTTCAAACCTTGTGATGCTCTGATCTTTCTTTATGAATTTTTGACCAAGATTGAGCCGTTCTTTTTCCTGCGACGAGACGAAATCTGAGGAAGCTAAATGTTACTTTATACCTGCTTAAAGTGGGTACTCAACATAAAATTTCGGTTTCCTGTCTTGTCGCTGCAAGGTGTCTTGCCTAACTAAGAATATAATTTTATAAATCCTTTACCGGCCTTCCAGTATAGCTGATAATCCAACAAAGTTTGATATTTAGTTCGGCATGTATGAAATTTCGGTGTAAATCTCGGTGTAAATTTCGGAGTAAATCTCGGTGTAAATTTCGGAGTAAATCACGGTTTAAATTTTGGTGTAAATTTCGGTGAGAATTTGAAAAATTTAGGTGGAAAGAAAAAATTTAGGTGAGTAAAGAAAAGAAACATTTTCTGTAATCATAATTGCCGTAAGCTTTTTCTGATTCCATCTTCCGCATTAAATTATTTGGAGCGCAAATAGCAAAGTTACAAAAATCGAATATTTTGATGTCAGTCCAATAAATGTAACTGAAGAGTAGGCAAGAATGTAGAAACTCTTTTTTAGAGGAGGTCTTTTTATTTTATATTTTATAGCCTATGGAGGAAAATTAACTGGAAGCGTTTATAATTCGCAATATTTTCGATTGCCAATCGCAACTAGGGGGTTTGAAATTCTGGTCGATTGTTAGTGAAGGATTGAGGCGTCCACATTGAAACCGCTGGAACGGAATAAATGAAAGACACTATGAAATATAAGCATCAGTTCAGCCCATAGATCACTCAGATTCTTGGATGTAGGGGGCGAAAGAGAAAAAAGTGAAGATAAGCTGGATATTGTTTTTGTTGGTGATGAAGGAAAACCAGAAACTTGGTATTCATAGGTTGTGGGTAATATGCTAATTTTATAGGATACTTACAATATCAACAAAGCAGTCTTTGTTATTTTCAAAGTTCATCAGTGTAAATCGAGATTTTTTTAGCGTTTGAAAATTTCGGTAAGAAAAAGTTTTTGTTTAGGAAATGTGCGGTCGGATTTATTTTCTGTTGCCCTGCTTCGCCAAAGTTTCTTAAAAAAGCTTTTCCCAATACCATTTTAACGACTAGTTCTGCTTACCTGTGTCTATTACCTTTTCTGCGTGAAAAATTTCTGGTTGAGTGAAAAATATTCAACAGATCAAAGAAAATGTAAGAAAATGAAATGTTTAACACAGCAAAAAAATTATTCGTTAATGATGGATAATTCATTTTCCTGCCCTTTTCATCGTTGACGAATTGCGTCAGCTTTAAAAGGCCGTAACAGTGAACAACAGTGGACTTGAGCTTTCCATCGATCTTCAAGCCTTTAAAATGTATATGTAAAGTACCTGAGCGCAAAAGAAATTGTACAATTGTAGTTATTTCGAGAGTAAGTTGGGCTGAATTTTCTCTCAGTGGAATTTTGCATTTTTTTCCGTCAGTAACACAAGCATCAATGCCGACAAGGAAATATTTTAACATTGGCTTGTAAAGGTAAGTTCATATTTGTTAATGACGAAAATAAAGCAACTTTTAAGGTTTAAAAGCTGTATTTTTTCTGTGCTCTCCCCCCCCCTAATTTTTATAAGGGTTTGAAAGGGACAGTTTCAAGCATTTTTCACTAACGATCACGGAAAAATTGTTTACTGAGTGCAGCAGCATTTTTCAAAAATTCAATTCTAGAAAAGAATTTAAGTTATCTTTTAGCACATTTTACACGTTTCATTGGTATTGGTAAAAACGTCCAAAATGGGCCTAAATCTAGCTGCGAGGCACGTTTGTTGTCATATTCTTGCATATTGGCTAATGGGGTATGGAGAATTTTGGTCACTCAGCCTATCAAAGATTTGGAACCTTTGCTTGCATCCTACTACAGTTGACATCCGCTATCTCGACTGCCCGCTATCTTGAAGATTCGCAATTTCGAGCCAGTTTCTGTTTCCCTTGGTTTTGCTTTAGGGTTACGTATAGAAAAACCGTTCGCTATCTCGACTGCTCGCTATTTCGAATATTCGTTATGTCGAACCGTTTTCTGCTTCCCCTGGACGAAAAGTGTTCGCTATCTCGAACTTTTTTGCTTTTGGTTATGTAAGAAAATTAAAAGTACGAGTAAAAAATCTATTGAAACGGCAGATGACAGTTAACAGATTAAAAAGACAGTGTTATTATACAATTTAAATTTTTTATAATTCGTCCTTGCAGTTCTTGACTGTCTGACAATAAAGCGTTTTGACCCTTCTATCATCAATGTGCAAGGGACCTGCATGCTATCACCATCAGTTTACAGGTTTCTCTTTTACAACTGCATGGCACTAACTGTACTGATCAGCTCTCAAGAAAAAAAAGATTGTTTTCGAAAATTTCCCATCTTTTCCCTTTGATAGATGACCAATAATGTCATTGTTTTTTAAAACGCAAACGGCATACTTATCCGTAATATTATCAGGTTTTATTGCAGCTTTAAGTTTTTCGCCAATCTGCATAGTACAAACCTGAAGATATTTATAATGATTTCAATTCTCGATAAACATGCCCCTCCAAAGAAAAAATTAGTAAGAGCAAACATTGCGCCTTTCATGAATAAAGATATAAGAAAATTGATAATGCTGAGATCTAAGGCAAAAAGAGAGCTCAACAAAAATAAAACGGTTTCAAATAGGGAGAGGTACAAAAAAGTCAGAAATAGATGTGTTAAATTAATTAGACGCACTAAAAGAAGATATTTCGAAAATTTAGATGTTAAATTCGTCAACGATAATAAAAATTCTGGAAAACTATCCAGCCTTTATTAAATGATAAAAATGCAAAAGCAAATAAAATCATACTGATAGAGAACGACGAAATCCTGTCTGACAACAAAATAGTTGCACAGACGTTGAACAATCACTTCGTAAATATTACTAAAAGCTTCAATATAGCCCGACCTTTATCTGATAATGTGCAACAGACGTCTGGCGAAAGGACAGCCTCGTCACTATTAGATCAATTGAAATGCTTTGAAAACCACCGTAGTATTTTAAAAAACAAGGAAACGTTTGATCAATTTCCTAAGTTTAACTTTGAAAATGTAACTTCCAAGGAGGTAAGAGAGATAATTTACAACCTAAAGGAAGACAAATCAACAGGAGCAGATAACACCCCCCCCCCCCCAAAAAAAGTTCTTAGAATGGCAATAGACGTTGTCTCTGGACCACTAGCTGAAATATTCAATCGATCTATTTCTGATAAAACGTTTCACTTTCTTATGAAAATGGCTAATGTGTGCCCTATTTTCAAAAAATGAGATTCAACTAGTAAAGAGAATTATAGACCAATAAGTGTGCTCCCCTCAGCTTCAAAGGTATTTGAGAGAATAATGTTCAATCAAATCTACAATTACATCACTGTTGAACTGTTCCCTTTGCTTTGTGGATTCAGAAAAGGTTATAGCACACAACATGCTTTATTACGACTTATTAAAGGTCTGAAAAAGTGCCTGGATAAAAAATATGTGGCTGGTGCAGTGCTCATGGATTTATCAAAAGCATTTGATTGTTTACCCCATATACTTCTACTAGCCAAATTGAAATCTTATGGCTTCAGCGACAATGCAATGGAATTTATGTATAGTTATCTAGATAAAAGAGTACAACGAGTAAAAATAAACTCAGATTTTTGTGATTGGATGGAAACAAAGCAAGGAGTTCCTCAAGGATCAATCTCAGGCCCGTTGCTTTTCAATATTTACATAAATGATATTTTTCTGCATTTGAACAAAAGCAACTTATGTAACTATGCAGACGATAATACAATTTGGCTCTCAAGTACTGATATGAATGAACTAACTGACGACTTATAATCGAAAGCCGCTATTCTTAATAAATGGTTTTATGAAAATTTTTTGGTGCTCAATGGCAATAAAAGCAAGCTTATAACATGTAAAGCCAATCGATCCAATTTAGAGGAATCTAAAATTCAAATAAATGGTTCTACTATAAAAGAAAATAAGAATGTTAAACTTTTGGGAGTAACACTAGACCATCAACTTAGATTAGAAGAACATATTAAAGTTTTTGTAAAGAAGCTGGGAAAATGGTAAACACTCTAGCCAGGATTGCTTCGTATATGGACGAATCTAAGCGAATTCTTTTAATGAAAACGTTCATATTATCATATTTTAATTATTGTCCTCTTATTTGGATGTTTTGCAGTAGGAAATTGGTGCGAAAAGCTTATACTTTTGTATCTTCTCCTTAAAGCCTGGTTGCCATCATATGATCGTAAGTGTGTCGGCGATTGTCTGCAGAGACATATTTAGCAGGAGGGAGTGATGCAGGAGGTGTGACACCCCGCAATATTTCTGCGTCCTTTTGTAAATTTCAAATTTTGCTTCCATTCGATAAAAGTCATTTTTGGTAGTAGTAGCAAAATAGCGTAAAGATTTTACTATATTAATATTTTCATCCTCTTTCCTTAAAAAATAAGACCTGAGTTTTGAAAATTTGCATTTCCATAATTTTCCAGTGACCCGAATAAGCTGAGAGATTGTGTTCCGGTCGCGTGGCGGACTGGCCCACCGGCCCGTGGCGATGTGAATGATAATGCGATGTGAATGATACTTCAACGGGGGTTGCTGCATCGTCTTAAAGATTCGTTTACCGAATAATCTAGTTTTTTGCTGGCGCTGGACTGTCTAGTATAAAACACGAACAGGTAAGGTATTGCCTCAAGGAATGAAAAATTGACATGAAAAAGATGTCAATAAAATGGCAAGAATTAGC